TCAAATATCGTTAATCACACAGCTCAGCTTCTTTCTTTCTTTCTCCCGCCAAGATCGGATCAAATATTCTCCACCATTACCTTTCTACAGTATTTGTTTCCCTAAACATAAAAAACCCACCAAAAACAAAAACAAATTTTGACCTTTTTCTTTTCTTTTCTTTTCTTAGATCACAGGAGAGATTTTGGGTTTTTGTTTTCTCCTTCTCCTCATTAGAAATCTTTCTTTCTTTCTTTTCAACAAAATAATTATTTTGATATGGGTAATGTGACGTCAAATGTAGCGGCCAAATTCGCTTTCTTCCCTCCGTCACCGGCTACATACGGCGTGACTAAAGATGAGGAGACCGGAAAGCTTATATTCACCGGAGTCACTCCGGAGAAAAGCATGGACGTTCACCAAATTACCTCCAAATCCGGCGACAAAGTCGTTGCTACGTATTGGAAGCACCCTTTTGCAAGATTCACTCTTCTTTATTCTCATGGCAATGCTGCTGATCTCGGTCAAACGGTCGAGCTCTTCATCGAGCTTCGTGCTCATCTCCGTGTCAACATTATGAGGTTTACATTTTCCAAAATCCCAAAAAAAAAAAAACAAATCTTTTTTCTTTCTTGTTGATGAAACGAAGCTGAATCTCTTCTTCATGTGACATTGAAACAGCTATGATTATTCGGGCTATGGAGCTTCAACAGGCAAGGTAAGAAATTGAGCTTCATTCAAAATTTCAACACATTTGTCATCATTCTCCTTTCTGCTTATAGCATTTGTTTTTAAAAACTAGCCGTCTGAGTTCAATACGTACCAAGATATCGAAGCTGTGTACAATTGCTTGAGGAGCGAGTACGGTATCAAGCAAGAGGAAATGATTCTGTACGGGCAATCCGTTGGAAGCGGACCAACGCTGCATTTAGCGTCTCGGTTAAAGAGACTAAGAGGGGTTGTTCTTCATAGCGCAATTCTCTCTGGCCTTAGAGTTCTGTATCCTGTCAAAATGACATTCTGGTTCGATATATACAAAGTAAGTCCCATGTCGCTTTCTTTTGGTTGCTCTTGCCTCTCTTTGTCTCTCAAACTCTTTTGTCTGGTGGTTGATTTTTCGCAGAACATTGAGAAGATACGCCATGTGACATGCCCTGTTCTTGTCATACATGTAAGGTTACATCATTTTTTTCTCTCACAAAAGCAGAGAATCACCTTACATTCCGTGGAGAAAACAATTCCAATACGTAGCAACGACTTTGTCGCCGGATTTGGAGGTAATTTGGTGAACGTCCATGCTTTTCTCCGGAGTGACTCCGGTGAATATAAGCTTTCCGGTCTCCTCATCTTTAGTCACGCCTTAATTGTCATACATGTAAGGTGATGAGAGAACATTAAACTTTGTTTACGAAACTGCAGGGAACAAACGATGAGATTGTGAACTTGTCGCATGGGAAGCGATTATGGGAGCTTGCAAAAGAAAAATATGATCCATTGTGGGTTAAAGGAGGAGGGCATTGCAACTTGGAGACATATCCTGAGTACATAAAGCATCTGCGTAAGTTCATAAACGCAATGGAGAAACTCGCTCTCAACAATCCGCCAACAAAACAACTAGACGACGATCCAAGCATCACTGAGATTAAGCACAATCGGTGCTTAAGATTCAGGAAAAGATAGAGCTTCATTTGAGAGACAGTGGAGAATGACAAAGATCAGAAGACCACAATGTAGATGACACAACAAAGGAGTCATTTCCTCAAATGTGGTCAGATCATCAATGCTAACGAATGCAAATCTCAAACAAGACAAGAAAATTGCAAACCAGATTTTTCATCTTTGTAGAATTTAGCCTTGTAATGTAGCAAAAGTTTGGAATTCCGTTTTTTTCATTTAAATACTTATCCATTACTAGTAGTTGAAGCAACAGAGCACAAAAGCTTCCAACTTTTTTCCAAAGCATTCATA